AAAAAAATACAAGGAGTAATAATAAAAAAGAATCAAAGCTATAAACTAAAAACATATGCCAATGATATAGTTGCATTTTTAGAGGACCCACTACATAGTATGGAAGAATTAATTAAAATGTTAGAGGAATTTGGAAAGGTGGCAGGATATAAAATTGATAAAGATAAAATATCAGTACTTGTAAAAAAATATGAGAAAAAAAAGAAGAGAAAGAATTAAATGAATTATCGGGATTTAAGATTCAAAATAAAGTGATGTATGATGTAGGATGATGTAGCAACACTTTTAAGTGATGTAGCTCCATCCTATGGAATCCTAGGATTGGTAGTTTTACAAGGTCTTTTTGGCCTTCTCTGCCAAAGAGTGCTGGTGCCTCATAAAACTGCAAATCCTAGGATTCTGGAGGATGGAACCATAGCAGTTAAAGGCTGCATCTGCATTGCAGAAATAATGCAGTTTGACACCACTTTAAGTGCTGTGGCTCCAGCCTATGGAATCCTGGGACTTAATGTTTTGCAAGGTCTTTTGCCTTCTCTGCCCAAGAGGGCTGATACCAAACTATAAATCCCAGGGTTTAGGAAGATGGAGGTATGGAGTTAAAAGCTGTATCCACACTGCAGAAATATTGCAGTTTGACAGCACTTTAACTGCCTTACCTCAATGCTATGAAATTCTGGGATTTGTAGTTCTGTGAGATATTTAGCTGTCTCTGACAGAAACATCTGGTACTACAATCATCTACAAATCCCAGGATTCCATAGGGTAGATCCATGACAGTTAAACCCATGACAGTTAAAGATGCACCTAAAATTCCTGCAGAATCCTAGGATTTGTAGTTTGTTGTGGCACCTCCAGGCAGAGACGGATAAACATCTCACAAAACTACAAATCCCAACATTTGAGCCAGGGCAATTAAATTGCTATCAAACAGCTTTTATTCTGCAGTACAGATTAGACCAGTGTGTGGTCAAGGTGACAAATATAATTTACAGGGAAGAACACTCAAGTTAGAAGCAGCTGCAGCAGTTTGCTTTTACCTGAACCTCCTGGGAAGAGTGAGATTTCCCTCTCCTCTCTTCTCTCCTCTTCTCCTTTGCTCCTTGAGAGCAAACTGCTTTTGCACATTAAACTCAATTTGCAACAATTGAAGTAAGCGGAGGACAAAGGGGGAAAGTGAGAAGAGGAGGGAGAAACTGGGAGATTTTAAAAGTTGATGGAAAAGTGGGATTAATTGGGACTATTCCAGCAAAACTGGGAGGTTGGAGAGGGTCTGATATCCACCTTGGCCTTCGCTCTTCAGCCGACCAGCCCAGTTTCTCTGGTGGCTGAAAGTATTTTCAGTCCGAGAACGGATTAAGATTCCATAACATTCTCAGGAATGCAAACCATCTCTCCCCGTTCTAATTTTTAGAGTGCTTGACATGAAAGGGATGTCCAAGATGTTTTACAGTTTATCCTTAATTTGGCCTCCAAACCTGGATTCAAACTCGGGGCTCCAATCCAGGAGCTGTGGCTATTATTATCAGCCATGGTGGGATGGAAGGAAGACAGGGGCATGGAAGCTGCCTTTCAGATTCAAGTTGGTCTACCTAACTTGACCTCCACTGCCTCTCCCTGATATAGCACCAGGGGACTACAAGTCCCAGCTTCCACAGATGCCATGGTCATGGTTGATGATGCTGGGAGTATAGGAAGGAGCCACAACACATAAAGTGGTGACAAACGGCATTATTTCTACAGTGTAGATGCAACCAAAGTGGCTGCAAGGACACATTGGATTCTATGCTTTGTTTTGGGTGGGAGGCATTATTTAATGCTGAACTGTTATACTATCCTGGAACAGCAATTTTGGCAATTTTCAGGGAGACATATCCACCTGAAATACTCATGGCACTATGGATCCACTTGAATCACAATGGCTCCATCCTGTGAAATCTTGAGATTTATAGTGTGACGTAGGACTTTGAATTCTCTGCTAGAGAGCTTTAGTGCTGGCGTTCATTAGAGCAGACTAGAACTCGACCAGAGAATCATAGAGTTGGAAGAGACCCCAAGGGCCATCCAGTCCAACCCCATGCCATGCAGAAACTCACAATTAAAGCACCCCCGACATGACCAAAGTCCAAGTTCTCCCACCAGACTATAAATCCCAAGATTCCCTAGGATGAAACCACATCAGTTAAAATACCACTAAATGTGGGGTTTCTAGGGGCTTTCGGAGGTGTCCTAGGACCTTGGAGGTGGGGAAGGATCAGGGACCTATGTGCTACATTTTCCCCTCCCTTATTTTGTACAGCTGGACGTGTTTAGCTTGGAGAAGAGAAGATTGAGATGTGACTTGATAGAGCTACCTTTAAATATTTAAAGGGAAGCCATGTAGAAGATAGATGCACAATTTTCTGTTGCTCCAGAGACTAACCACAATCCTAAACATTAGGAATATATATTTTATTTACTGTTCAGCAGTGGAATAGACTGCTTTGTACTGTAAGAGCTGTAAGAGCTGTTCAGCAGTGGAATAGACTGCTTTGCAGAGTGGTGGATTCTCCATCTTTGGAGGTCTTTTAACAGGGTTTGGATGAGCACCTTTTAGGAGATCTCTACATACCTGCAGGGCAAGGGGTTGGACTAAATATCCCTTGGGGTTCCTTCCAACTCTAAGATTCTATGAGTCCATAGCATTTAATCTGTCTCTCCATTGTCTTTGGTTTACAAATCAATCACCATCCACGGGGATCCAGAACAGAGAGAGAAGGACTTGGCTGATGCTGAATTAATAAACTGCAGACTTTTCACCACAAAAGGGAATGAATGTTTGATTTTATCACCTTATAAGAGGGTTCAGAACAAAGCATCATCTCCTGATATGAAAATACCTGGCACTTCAAATTTAGCCTCTGTCATGAAACAATTGCAAAGTTTGATCCAAGACTCCAGGACTTGAATATTGAATTCCAGAGTGTTTTGTTAGTTTAAACCAGTTTTAGGTCAGTAGTGCATTGACATGGATTGTGCTCCCTCCACATTATATTTGTATGAGGACCATGTCCAGAGAGTGACCAAAATGATGAAGGGTCTGGAAATCATGCCCTATGAGGAGAGACCTAGGGAGCTCGATATGTTTATGGACAAGAGAAGGTTAAGAGATGATATGATACCCCTGTATAAGCATTTGAAGGGCTGTCAAATTGAGGATGGAGCAAGCTTGTTTTCTGCTGCTCCAGAGATTAGGACCCAAAACAATGGATGCAAGCTATGGGAAAAAATATTCTACCTAAACATTAGGAGGAACTTCCTAGCAG